ATGACCCCCCTCTCCGGGTGGACTCACAGCAGCTCACCTGTGACCAGCACTGGGCTATGGGTCAGCAATGGAGATCAGCCCACAGCCGAGCTCCCAGGGGATGGGAGGGCTCAGGACCAAGACCCCCCACGCCCCCAGCAAGTCACCAGGCAGACGGCAGGTTTTGGGAGAAGGGTGGGGGCCAGCAAGGACCCTCCACGGCAGCTGGGCCAAGGGAAGGTTTCCAAGGGCATCTCCTCCGGTGTCCCGCAGACCCAGCCCGCATTATCTCTTATGGGTTGTTTCAAAAATGCAGCAGACATTTGCTGATGGAGCTGCTGGGATGGAGCTTCTTACATGGATTTTGCCGGTTGCCTCTTTTTTTTTTTCTTTCCAGATGGAAAACACCAGTAATGGTCCCACATTCGGTCCCAAATGGATGCCACCGCTCAGGACTGTGATGCCGAAAACTGGGAATGCGCCTCTTGCTGCCACTTCCACTTTGGTCACCTTCCCTGTGCTGGGACATGCATCTTGTCTAGCGTGACTTTGTGGCTCTCTTATGTAGGTGCGTGGTTTTGGTTCCTCTATGTGTGTGTTTGGCTTGTGTTGAGTTTTTAAGGGTTTCGTTGGGGTTTTTTTTGCTGTTTGCTGTTTTCCTCCAAAATTCCAACCCTTTTCCCCCCCGATTCACTTCCCTCTCCCACAATGCACTTCCTCACACTCCTTCTCGGATCAGCTCCAAGTCCTTCTCCAAAATTCAAGAATCACCCGCACGCACCAGCTCATCTTTTCTGGCCGGAGCCAAGCATGACCCTGGAGACAAAGTTGACGATGGCTGCAGCCGGCTGGTCCGGGTCCAGCTCGGCAAAGAGGTGGCAGATGTTGTCTGTGGTGCTCCCTTGCTTCCTGGCCACGAAGCCGAAAAGCCTGGGTGGGGAGAAGGCAAGAAGCTCAGGGAGGTTGCTCACCCAAGGAACACCACCACGTTCTTCCTGCATGGTCTTGCCCACCTTCCCCTCTTTAACATCCACCTTGCACAACAGAGAGAGACATCCCAAACCAGCCTGCATGAATACTCATCTACTCCTCGTTGCTGCAGTTTCTTTGAAGGCGAGCACCGCATTCCCATCATCTCTTGGCCAAACTCCCCTTGCTCTGACCATCCCTACCCCCCTGCCCTAGACCATCCACAAGAAGGGACCTTCCAGATGATCACAGCATTGCCTTGGTTTCGGTGATAACTGTTGAAACCACAGAGGTGTGATGGGGTATTGAGGCAGACGCAATGTATGATAGGAAGGCCATGTAGGGACACAGGGAGCTGGGTGAGACCATGTGGTTATTTCTGTCTGTCTCTCCCTGATGAACAAAATGTTGTTGTCATCCTCCCCCC